GTACACATGGGAACGCGCTTCAGATAAGCCTTTGCGTACACATGACAGCGTTGCAACGCGCGTTTGAGCAATTTTGTCTCATGGTATGTCTCGGCATAGCCATAAAAGTGGAAAAGGTAGTTTTTACTAACTTTTTCTTAAGGGAGTTGTACTATAGATATAAGGAAAAAAACGAAATCAAAATACCCTCGTTGCAGCTTAATTTAATATTGTAATTATAAAATATTAAATTAATGATGTTTTTTGCCTTTGTGGACATCAAAATGAAAAAAGTAAAGCGGGGTCGGGTAATTGTGTCGGGGAAAATTCACTAAGGACACTTTTTACAAGAAAGTTTAACTCGTATGATTTTTTCTTTTTTACTTTGTAACCTAATCACGGATATGAATGTCAGTTTTGAAATACTAAAGCATGCTAATTGCTTCATTTAACGAAAGTTAAAGTCTGTCTATCACCTTGTGAGAGCATTGTTAGGGATTGGATTTCAACAGAAGAGAACATATGTACAATTCCTTGAGGTAATTACGATATTCTCTCCTGTTGAAATCCACACTATATGGAAGTACTCAGTAAACATACATAAAACCTACTCCCCTCTACTCCAAAACGCGCGTTACAACGCTCACATGTGTACGGTCCCATTAGAACCTTCGTAACTCGAGGCGCGCTGCTAGCGTGAGTTACACGATGAACCTCTGAGGCGCGCGTTGCAACGCGCGTTGGCCGAAGCACTGGCGCTGCATGTGTACGCACTCATTTGATTGCTGTGCGACACGTAACGCGCGTTGCAACGCTCCCATGTGTACAGGGTCTTATTGCAAACGCAAAGCTTGAGTATAACTGCAATAAGCATTTTATACTTATATTCCAACTCCGTACGAAGGACAGTACTCTGCTAGTATATATATACAAGAGGCTCTACCCGCGAATTCACGGGTGTACAGAAGCCACCATTAAATTAATTTAATCAACTTTGACTTTATATTTCATTTAAAGGGCCCAAGTTCGAGAAATTGTCCTCTGAAAGGATGTTAAAAGCAGTGTAACCTTCATACCGTACGTCCTGAGGTGGCCGAGGGAGGTACGGTTGTACCTGAACTCGCCGCTCTCCTCCACGACGTCTGTAATACTTTAATACTTTTCAATGAAATGGCAACCTGTTAAAGATCGGTGACAACCTCTTGGAACGAACAACACACATGGTTTGTTACTCTCATATTCATTCATCGTGTTTCGATCACCTTTAGTCACTCACTTGTATCAAACAGCTACAAATAGCTTCACTGTCCACTTACCGAACCTCTTTTAAGAACACAAAACTAAATAATAAAATAAGTAAACAAAAATGTAAACAAACAAACTATATTGTAAATTGCATTGGCCAGCTGTTGTTCACTAAATTAATCGAATAACTTTAACTTCCAAAACATGCAAGGCGTAGCCCTTTGGAAATCAGCCTGTGGGGCAGAGCCCTTAGGGAGTTCGTCCATATCAATACTTTTCGGCAAATCTACACACTCTGAGCTTCATTTTGATATGCCATATGCCTATATTTTCACTTGATAAATGGCCTTAACCGTTTACATAAAATTTGATTGTATCACTTTAATAATATAATAGATATAAATAGGCTATATATATATATAAATAGGCTATATATATATAAATAGGTTATATATATATATATATACATATATATATATATATATATATATATATATATATAGATGAATTCGATTTGAACGGATGGTGTTTTTGGTCTTTAGGGACCTCAAATCGAAAAAGTAAATCGGTCCCGGGTCCAGGTCTTACCATGAGTACTACGGTAATAGCTTATTCCCTATAGGGGAAATTCGCTAAAAATGTGTTGTGTTAACACAAACATCCAAAAACAAATATTTAGGTCTACCCACTGCTTCTGAGTTAGACTTTAAAAGTACAAAGAAAGGAAAGTGAGACTTAACATAAACAGCAACTCCTCCACTACCCTTATGGAGACGGTCATTTCTAAAAATGTGGTAGCCAGATAATTCAACACATTTGTCATTTGTGTGACAAATGTGTTGTGTGACAAATGTGTTGATATACTGATAACTCAAGGACAAATGGCATCTTATTTGGGCCATTAGCTGTATGGGCTATTAATTAACAGCTGTGTCTAAGGAATATGTCGGCCTTAGTCACTAAAAAGACTACAAGATCACACCACTCATCCTACACTCATCTCCATTCATACTTGGCTTAAAATACCTACTTTGTATGGTCGCCATTTCATCAATAAGTATTAAAAAGTATCTGAATTCAGAACTGATCTCATTCAGGGCCGGACTTAGGACTTCAGAGGCACCGGGCGAATTTCCCGATGGGGCCCCCAGTATGATTATACGAGAACATATACGGTACACAATGTAACGCATTTACATGCACACTAATTTTAAATAGCTAATTTCAAGGTGAATTAATATGTAAACCTGTTAGAATGCTGTATTTTGCATAAACTAATTGTATGTAATATTTTAAGTCTGAAAATAGCTACAATGTACGGTGTTATTTTATGATTTGTTCTTGTTGTAATTGTATTTACGCCACACTAAATTATTTTGACGAACTTCCCACGCAAGGATTTAGTCCAGAAAACAGCTGTTTGCCGCCAGCTTATTCAAATGGGGTTTCATTGCGTACTACTGTGCTGCAATGAGTTTTGCCGGACACCAATCAGCTGATTATACTGTATTTAGGTGGCAGTGAGTGGTTATAAACAAAAACATAACCTCTCTTAGAGGTTATGACTAGTGATTTTTAGTCCTTTAGTTGGTGGAAATTTATAAGGATTTGTACGGATTTAGTAGTATGGCGTAAACTATCGTACGTATCTCGTCCAAAATGTGTGTACCGGACTCGTATGGTAATCCCGTACTCGACTTCGTCTCGCACGGGAACGACCACACTCGTCCGGTAAACACTTATTTTCAGGACTAGTAACGTAATATACTATTATAAAATTTTAATATACCTAGCAGGTACCTTACACATTTTTTGCAATACATTAAAATGTAATATCCTTTGCAACAAATAATGAAAACTATAGATAAAATAAAAATAAAATAACACGTACTTGTAAAAGGTTTAATTTAATTGTTTTACTGTAATACACATTCTATTTGGTGCTTGAATGAAAACTCAAATGAAAAATAACTAACATTAATTAATGGAATAAGTTATATTTAAACACGTGATGTAAGTCAGAGATAATGCATAAACTTTTAAAGCTTTAATATATTTTATAACTTACTATAATTTTACTAACAAACCTTTTACTGTACTAAGTTTATAAGATACAAGTCAAAACAATTTTAAAGTTTACTTTTTATAGATTAATCATTATAATGTTTAGAACATAGTTATTTTCCCTATAAATAAATGTCACTTCCTACTCTGATACGTTGGTCACGTTGGCATGGCAATTAAAACCTCCTGCTTTTCCTACATTTCTTGGCTGCACTAAAACTATAAAATCATAAACTATGACTTATGTTTATTTTCATAGTGGTTTTGGCATGGAATTCTCGTTTGTATAATATGTTAAAAGTCCTAGCATGAAAAGTACCATTAAGAACTTTAACGAGTTTGAGTTTTTTCTTGACGAGTAAAATGTTACAATACAAGTCTAATAACCAATCACAAGCTAACCATTTATATGAGTAAACTGAAAGATAATTAAATGTATTCAATATAAATTAATACAACACAAACATAACATTCAATACAACATTAATTTGTTCTTTGTAGTGTTTGCAGAATTAATAATAAAATACAACACAAAAGTAGGCCTACGATAATGTCAACCAAAAACACACTGGGAGTAAAGTGATTTAAATTGTTTTGGATTGGCGATAAGGCATTGTATGTATGTGTATGCGCGTGCGTGAGACAGACAAGACTAGACAGGATCCCTTATCAGCTCATTATCATTTATTGTTGCAGCTGCTTGTTGAGCGCTTTTTTACGATTTCAGTCGACAACGCTCGCCCGCTCCCAAATAATGTAATTTTTGTTAACATCAGACGACCCTAGTTGTCATAAAATGTCTATAAAGATTTTTTATCCTACTGGCGCTGTATGATTTTGACTCTATCGACTAAATTGAAGATCCGAATTTCGACGTATAACTTAATTACTATTTTATAAAACCTTTTAATTGAATGGGTAATATAATACTTCTGCCCCTTAAAATCGTGAATGGCATATACTTAGAGGTAAAAGAATAACATCTAATAAAACATATTTTTCAAACAATGTTTTTATTTTTCAAACATATTAGATCTCAATTGAATCTCCATTTAACCCCAACACAATTGTACAAGTTACGTTCTACGTTAGGACAAGAGTTTTCATATTATTTATTGTATTTTTTGCCCCAAGCGAAGGGGCCCCCTTCAACTTGATCACCGCGGCCGTAGGTTTGTGTGAACGGCTTCATTGAAACTCAAACTGGTCCGTCACAGCCTAGCAGCTATGCTCGTGTAAACTAGGTCTAAGCGTGGGGCCCAGTGCAACCCTGAGGAAAAGTCCCTTAGAGTCAAGAATTTTGGTCCTAGTAATACCTTAAAGTTCATCTAACAATAACCTTAAATATAGGATAACGACAATAAAGCTGTTAAAAAAGAAGATCATTCGGTAAGTGTCTGATTAGTTTTCGAAGATATTAATAAAAACTACTGTGCAAGGGGCCCCTCCCCGGGCGCTCGCCCCGTCCGCCCCTAGGTAAGTTCGGCCCTGATCTCATTTGGAATAAACAGATAGGCCTACCTAGAAAGCAGGAACTATAACCACTTGGCTACAGTATCCAGATAACTATTGTCAGACTAAATGTAAAGCCAAAAGTATAATCCTCTACAACAAAATTTAACTAGACGTAAGTCAGAGTTAAGTACGGTACAAGTATTGGTGAGCAGAGTATTGACATCAATATATGCCTGAGTTACAACATAGGCCTTTACCTGACTCTTTGCGATGCTTGGTGGTAAGGCAGGCCTTGGAGCTGCCCAGAGCTATCAGCCACTGTTGCCGCTCTTGAGATGAAGCAGCTCGCAGATATATGTGTTTCTCCCCAGGAACCACCAAGTCCATTCTAGTCTGATCAACACTGTTCACTGCATTGAAAAAGTATTTTAAAAACTTATTACTTGTATTAAATACTTAGGTCTACAGTTATATTATCAAGTTACCATGTTATAAGTTGTATGAAACAAAAGATAGTATCCTACTGTGAACAGGTTTGAATTAGTTGTAAATAATTGCTAGGTCGTTGTCAGAAACATCTTGATAAGTTTGGTTAAATAGTTTTAAGCAAGAATATTAAGTAAATCATTGATGATTTAACTATAATTTGGTATAGATTATCATTGTATACTCTACATACAATAATAATTATATAGTAAACTTACTGTACTCTTTCCTGATTAAGAGATAGGGCATTTGCCAGGGGTTATTAAGAAAAATGACAAGAAGGCAGGCTTACCTCTAAATAATTCCATAGAGACACATAAATATACAACACAAAAGTATAAATTTTCGTGGTCACTGGCCACTTTTTCAATCGCTGGAGAGAGAAAACCAGTGGTAGTTGAGAAAAAAACAAGTCTTTTTTTCTCCAGTGGTTGACCACAAACATTTCTACTTTTTTGTTATGGGTGATTCTACAGAAAGTGACGCTTTCTTGTCTTTCGAGCTTTGTGTATACATCCCTATAAATATATGTATTTATGAAAATTGTATTTAGTGTGTAAAGTGTTTAGTTGACGTTTTCCAAGTAAAAAACTAATTTTTTATATGCCAAAGGTTTTTAAAAAATTATATAAATAGGTAAAATGTCAGTCCCCTGGGTTGTCCCTGGCTGAGTTTTGATAACTATTTAAGTGACCTATGCTTTACAAGTGCATTTAAGAAGCTATTTTAATTTTTAACATTAGCCAAAAATACACATATTGAGATATAATACATGTATATTATAATATAAATTTGCTTTTATGGATTTACTATTATTTAATTGTGTGTCCCTGGGGTTTTGTGTCAGTCCCCTGGTAGGAGGGAATTCTTCCCTTAGAGGGAAAAGTTGTGGGATTTTTCAGTTGCTATGGTGGTAACCAGCTTCCTTACTTCACTCTGGGATTGTATTCAGTGTTGTAGTGTCTCAAAACTCCTCTCAAGTGTTGAGAAAACCACAAGAACATTAGAAAACAGGTAAGTACCCTTTTTGATTGTCAATCCCCTGGCTAACTTAACTTAGGTATGGTAGTCAGTAAAAATAAAATGTAAATACCATTAAGTAGCAGTAAGTGCCTGTTAGTCACATGGTCCAACCTAACCTCAAAATAATTTACACAATCCATGCTAGACTGGGATTCAGCCAGAATTGTCAGTCCCCTGGTTGTCAGTCCCCTGGCCCAACTTTGCCAGGGGACTGACAATATGCCAGGGGACTGACAAAAATGGGAAATTAAAATAGTTTAAGCTGGTTTTAGGCCAGGTTCTGGTGATGCAAAGTGTATTAATGTAGGATGTTTATGTATTGTAACAATTTATGATTTAGCCTATGATACTGTCATAGTTTAACTGGTTTGGAGTGATTGACCTACATAGTTATCGCCATACAGATAGAGATGTGTGAAGGTAAAATTTTTAGGATTACGAATTACCTACATTATGTTAATATTTTGAGATATTTACCATTTACCATCACTAATTTTTTACTACTTGTGCTTCTGGAAGGTCTACTCTAAATTTCACATAGTTTTCAAAACTAGGTCTAGTTACACAATTCAAAAATTGTTTGTTCTACTTACACTAGTGTAAGTCTAAATTTGCTTGTGAGTGTGAGGTTTTCTACCCAGGATTACCAGTAGGCCTACTTGTGTATTGTTTGTATGCTACTAATAAGATATTGTTAATTTTAGGCCCATCAAAAACATGGCGCCAAGAAAAAAACAGCCAGATAGTGAACGGTTGAAAAAAAAGAGAGAGGCAGAGAAAAAAAGGCAAGAAAAAATCAAACAGGACCCAGAAAGATTAAGACAACAACAAATTAAAGAACATGAAAAATACCTTAAAAAGTTGCAAAAGGGTCAAAGAAAATTAATTGCTGATCAAAGTGATCGTGAAAAACGACAAACTAAGAAAAAATGGAGGGATGCTACAAACAAAAGTAGACAAAAGAAAAAGCAGATTGAAGAAGAAGAGCGGATTTTGAATGAAAATTCTCCACCACCAAGTGAACATGGTTCACCTGGGCCTGCTGAACCACCTAGACCTGACGGAAGAATAAACTCAGGAAGAAAAAGGATCAAAAGAAACAAGACAAAATGCTATAGGGAACTGCAAGAGTTAAAACTAAAGTATAAAAAGTCTACAAAAAAGGCAGAAAGATACAAAAAGCGTTATCTGCGACTTTTGAAATCTAAAGACAAGGAAAAAAATACTGTTTCAACACCAAGAACAAAAGTTAAACGATTGCTTAGAGGGCAAACTGTTTCTGAAGTTATTAGGAAAAAATTAGTCTTTGGGGAACTACTTGAACAAGAAGTGTCCAAAACTTATAGGAACACCGCTAATATAAGAGACAAAAATGTGATCAGAAACATATTTAATCCTGAAACTTTATGTAAATATAAAGTGAAAAAATCTGTTGAAAGATTAGTTGGTATTAATAAAGCAAAATACAACAAAACCTATAAAACACTACAACAACAAATTGCAACTGATGTCAAAAGTTTTCTTGAAAGAGATGAGTTTAGTCGTTTATGTCCAGGAAAAAAGGATACTATTACATGGAAAAAAGACAAGAGACAGAAGCGATTTCTAAACAAATCTTTAAAGGAAATTCATGAAGAATTTTTGAAACAATCAAACGTCAAATTATCATACTCTCTTTTTTGTCGATTGAGACCATTTTGGATTTTGGACCCTAAAGTTGAGAATAGAGATACTTGCCTTTGCAAAAGGTGCAGCAACATGTCAATGCTGGTTTCAAAGCTTAGTGCTATCAAAGTGATAGATGAAGAATGCCCTGAAAAGCTTGTTAACAGCTTATGCTGTCCTGAAAAGACGGTAGAATGTTTGTTTCGAGAATGTGAGGAGTGTCAACACAAAATTATACTATACAATAATTTCTCTGCCAATGATACAACAAGTTTTAATAAGTGGATCGATGAAAAGGTGGAAGTTGTCATTAGAGGAAACAAGAAAGAGGTAAAAAAGGCGACCAAAAAAACATTCAATTGCACAATTGAAGAGTTAGTTGAAGAGTTAGAGAAAAACATAAAAGCGTATATGTCACACTGTGGGCGCATCAAAGGACAGTACAAGGCAATGTCGGACAAAAAAGAAAATCTAAATAATGATGAAATAATCATTCACATTGACTTTAGCGAAAACTTCAGTGGCAAATTTGCAGAGGAGATCCAAAGTATTCACTTTGGAGGGTCTAGAAGCCAAATAACGTTACATACAGGCGCGCTTTATGTTAAAACAACATAAACCAATATCTTTTTGCACAGTTTCAGAAAGCAAGGAACATGGTTCGGCAGCCATATGGGCTCATTTAAAACCTGTGCTCCATTATGTTAAAGCCCAGTATCCTGATGTAAACAAAATACATTTTTTGAGCGACAGCCCATCAGGGCAATACCGAAACAAAACCATGTTTTATTTAACAAAAACCTTTTTGCCAAAGATATTTGTGGGATTACAAAGCTCTTCATGGAATTTTTCTGAGGCCGGGCACGGCAAGGGTGCTCCGGACGGTGTTGGAGGGTTCATAAAACGAACTGCCGACAAGTGCATAGCACAGGGGTCAGATATTATGAACATAACTGCCCTACTGGCTATGCTCAAAGAAAAGTGTCGTAATGTTGTTGTTTGGAGGATAAACCAGGAAGAGATCACTTCTATAGAGCAAATGATTGAAGAAGCAGGAGTTCTTTCTACTGTTCCTGGTACATTTTTGATACACCAGGTATCATGCAGCAAAGAAAAGGTGGACTATCGCACTATGACCTGTTGGAAGTGCGAGCCTGGAGTACGATGTGAGCATTACAGTCTGGACATAAAGAAAAATGAACAACAATGTGAACAACAGAATAAACCGATAGAAAAAGGTAAATTATTTAAATTTAAATACTATCATTACCTCTCTGTCTAATAACTTCTTAAATATTATAAATGAACTTAAAATTAAAACGTTTTTCATGTTTTTTTTTACTAAATTTTGAAAATAAGGACCATAGGCCTACATTTAAAACAATTTTGGTTTCACAACATTTGCTTTCTTCAATGACAACAATTAAAATCAAGACTCGATTAACATATTGTCAATTAACTTTTTTTCTTTTCTAGCCTTAGATGTTGGCGATTGGGTAGTCGTCACATATGACTCGACAAATTATCCTGGCGAAATAGTTAGTGTGCAAGAAGAAGACATGACCATAAATGCCATGCACCCAAGTGGGCCAGGTGGTTGGAAATGGCCACCAAAACCAGATGTTCACACCTACCCAAAGCAAGATCTTGTGAGAAGAATTGATCCTCCAGTGCCCAGTGGAAGCAGGGCTAATCAGTTTATTTTTAAGGACTTGATTTAAACAGTGAACAGTTTTTCCCTTTGTACTATATTATACTTCTTATGTATTGACTAACATACAATATATAATGTAAACTTTAATATTAAATGAAATGTTATGTTAAACTTTAAAGAAAATTTTGTTTGCCTTAAAACGCGTCAGTCCCTTGGTATATGCGTCAGTCCCCTGGAGGAACGATTTTTAAAAATTGTGTTAAAATTGGTAAAATGCTTGAAACTGTATGATTAGACTGATTATTATCTCATTTATAACCTATTCAATTATAAAATTAAGAAAAAAAAATTATTTTAATAATTTTTTTCATTTTAAATATGGAAAGTAAAAAGATTCACTTTTTGTAGAATCACCCTTATATATTTTATGTTTCTCTATGGACTTATTTAAAGGTAAGCCTACTTTCCTGTCAATTTCCTTACCGTAAGCTTTGTTTTTGATTTTTTTAAATCTGTTAGGCACTTAAAAATTTTAAATCAAATTTGATTAGATGCAATGTTACCTACTTTACTACATGAATAAACAGTTAAACACACTTTTTTATTCTGTGCTTTTTTACATCTGTGTTTTTTTACTATCTTTTAATTTATTTATAAGGATTCAAATAATTAAAATTAACTGTTTGTTAATTTAACTTAGGTAGGCCTACTGTACCCATTATTTCTAATGCTGACACTTTCATAGACCCTTTGCAACCTTGGCTGACCTCTTCTTGGGACAAGTAGTATGACAAAATTCCATCCTCTAGTATGAACCACCTTGTTTGCCAGCCTACAAACAGTACCTATTTAAGTTATTTGCTCGCCACTCAATTGTAATTTTTATATTGCCTGTCCTGTAGGCCTTATTAACTTAATTCCTTGTTATATATATATACCTAAGACTGAATACGAGATGTATTTACTAACAATTGACTTGTCTATGCATTAAACATGTAAAAGTGACGAATAAATGTCTTATGTCTTAATCTAACCATAGGCCTAATGGAGGTTAACTCCAGAGAAGCCATTATCTGTAAAGCAGGCTAAGACACTTTTAGTAGGCTGCATTGCTTGTTGAAATTTAAGCACACTCAAGAAATGAGATAATTTGTACAACACGTTGACAGTGCTTTACCATAATTTAAGGAAGCGAATTGGTAGAGCCTACATAACTAGGGTAGGTAATTTTAAGAATTAAAATTCAAAAACATTTATTATCTATGAGGATTGGGTGATATAGGTATAGGCCCTAATAGCCTACTTATTTATGAACATGCAGTAATTTTGACACTGTTCTAAGTTAGTTCTTTTTAACCGACTGGGTAATCAATTTAGGGATACAGTTTCTTAACTGGGTGTTGGTATTGCTATAACCAGCTGATCTCTAGTTGTTGATATTTATGTTATGTTATGAATTTGGATAATAAACAGTATCTTGTTTAGAAATGATTATTTAATTAAAATAGTTTAATTAATATAGATAAAAGAACATGGTGTCAGTAGTACCGAATCCACTGGACTTCAGTGACCCAACGCGAGTAAGAGAAAACTGGGAAGTGTTCAAGAAACAATGGAAGAACTATTTGATCTTAGTTGAAGCAGGAGCATTAGGTGGTACAAGGTTAAGTACACCTAAACTGAAGATGGCCATGTTTTCAACTGTAATTGGCCGCGATGGACTATGTTTGATTGAAAAAATACTTGGCTCCAATGAATCAACCCTGGATCAGGTAATTGAAGCTTTAGATAAGTATTTTTTAGGGACAAACAATCCTTTGTATGAGAGATTCATTTTTAATGGCATCGTTCAAAAGACTGATGAAACAATTAAAGACTTTATAGGTCGTTTAAAAGAGCAAATACGATTGTGTGATATTGATTCTTTAGCAAATCTGGGCAAGATAGGCCTTGAAGATACTCTAATTTGTGACCAACTTGTTGTAGGCATAACCAATACTGAATTAAAAAGGACGCTTTTGCGTAGAAAAGACCTAAAACTTGATGAAGCTATAGAAATATGTATGCATCATGAAACAACTTTTCAGGTTTGATACAAAAATGACAGTGAAATCAGAAGAGGCGGCATTTCAAGCAAAGAGTAGTTGTTATTTAAATCCTCACTTAAATAACAAATGGACCTGTCGTTTTTGTGGTAAAAACCATATCAAGGGAGCAAAAAACTGCCCTGCGTTTGGTAAAGTTTGCAGCAATTGTAGAAGGAAGAACCATTTCAGCAGCGTGTGCCGAAGTTCCGGTAAAGTTAATTTGGTCCAAGATAATAACAGTGAAGCTAATCAAGATAGCCAAAGTGAAGAGGAAGTAATGGAACTTAACGATATCCAGTACAAAAAACGACTTTTTGTAAAAATGATGGTCAACAAAAAGCTCAGAAAGTTCCAGCTTGACTCAGGTGCAACTGGTAACGTTATGGGGCTATGAGATCTAAAAACTATTCTGGACAATGAAAATCCTAAACTTAACAGTAGCTCCACTACTTTGTGTTTCTATGGCGGGTCATCGCAAAACTCACTAGGCAGCATTGTGCTTAAAACAAATTTCAAAAATAATATTTTTGATTTAAAATTTGAAATTCTGAATTCTGAGAGAAATCCTCTTATAGGAGCAGCAGATTGTCTTCGACTAGGCTTGATTTCAACAGATGACGAGGGTTTCCAGGCTCTCACAGCATCTAACCAAACGGCCACACATCAATATACGATATTTGATAAATTTCCTACTGTATTTGAAGGATTAGGTAGTTTTGAAGGTCTTTGCAGCATAAGAACTGACCCGTCGGTACCACCTTCAATAGCAGCACCCAGGCGACAACCTCTAGCATTTAAAAAAGAAATATGTGCTGAATTAGATAGACTTGAACAACTCGGAGTCATCGTCAAGGTAACAGAGCCTACTGATTGGGTCAGTAGTTTAGTAGTAGTGAAGAAACCTAACAAGATACGGCTTTGTATAGACCCTTTTCACCTTAATAAAGCCATTAAAAGGTCTCATTATCAAGCACCAACTATTGAGGAAATAGCTCCACAGCTACATGGAGCAAAGTTCTTTAGTGTTCTGAACCTTAAGGATGGGTTTTGGCATGTAAAGCTAAATGAGGAATCTAGCAGGCTAACCACGTTTTGGACCCCCAAAGGCAGATTTCGTTGGACTAGACTACCTTTTGGTGTTGCTAATGCTCCTGAAGAGTTTCAACGAAGAGTTCACGAACACCTTGAAGGTCTTGAAGGGGTTGTGGCAATAGCTGATGATGTTATGGTATTTGGAAAAGGAAACACCGTTCAAGAAGCTAAGATTGACCATGACAAGAAGCTGAATGCCCTTCTGCAACAAGCTCAGCTTAAAGGGTTAAAGTTCAACAAGAATAAGTGTAAAATAGGTGTAGAAAAAATTCCATACATGGGACATCTTATTACAGCAGATGGGTTGTGTCCTGATCCTAGCAAAGTAGAAGCTATAAGCAAACTTTCAGCTCCTACTTCAAAAGAAGAAGTCAATAGATTCTTAGGATACGTTGTGTACCTATCAAAGTTTCTACCAAGACTATCAGAAGTAGCAACACCGATTAGAAATTTGCTGAAAGATGATAGTGAGTGGGTATGGGACAGCCCACAGAAAGATGCTTTCCAAAAGTTGCTCAAGATGGTTCAAGAAGCTCCAACATTAAAGTACTTTTACCAGACACAGAGTTGTGTTGTGCAATGTGACGCGAGTCAATATGGCCTAGGGGCTTGTCTCATGCAGCAAGGTAAGCCCGTTGCCTATGCTTCAAGAACATTAACTAAGACTGAAGTTGCCTACGCACAAATTGAAAAAGAGTGTCTAGCTATTGTGTTTGGACTTGAACGCTTTGAACAGTATTTGATGGGACATAGAGATGTTATAGTTGAATCTGATCACAAGCCCTTGGAGACAATATTCAAGAAGCCCTTGATTTCAGCTCCTAAGAGACTGCAAAGGATGCTTTTACGACTTCAAAAATACAGCTTTTGTGTACAATACAAGCAAGGCACATCAATGCATGTCGCAGATTTTCTGTCCAGATCGCCTCTTAAAGTAACCGGCAGAGAAACAGTTGACGACCTAATCTGCCAAGCAGAGTTAGAGAACATTAACGATTTAGACAACATTAATATTACCGATGAGAGGATCAAGGAGATAAAAGAAGAGTCAAGCAAATGCCCTGTTATGAATAATCTTGTGGACACAATTAAAAAAGGGTGGCCTGATAAACGTACTCATGTTCCTCAAGACCTACAGGAATACTGGAGTGTTAGAGATGAACTATCAGCGATAGATGGAATCGTAATAAAAGGAGACCGTTTAGTAGTTCCACGTTCTTTGAGACCTGCCATGCTTAAAATTTTACATTCTTCTCACCAAGGAGTTGAGTCTTGTTTAAGAAGAGCAAGAGAGGTGTTATTTTGGCCGGGAATGGCTGGAGATGTTCAAAGAACTGTTGAAACATGTTGGCCTTGCCAAAAGTATGCTCCAGCTCAGAAATCCGAACCCTTACAGCCTCATAATACTCCAACTAGAGCATGGCAAAGAGTTGGAATTGACTTCTTCCAGCTGGGCAGTGACCACTTTCTTATAATGACGGATTATTTTTCATCATTTTTTGAACTAAAGAAAGTGAATTCACTGAAAACAGAAGGCCTGATTCAGTTTTGTAAAGAACAATTTGCTCGCTACGGAATACCAGACGTTGTTGTTTCTGACAGTGGTACCCAACTTGTTGGCCCAGACTTCAAGCTTTTTGCCCAGACTTGGATGTTCAAAATTGTTGTTTCTTCACCGCATAATCACCAATCCAATGGTAAGGCAAAATCAGCGGTTAAAATTGCTAAGAGAATGTTAAAGAAAGTAAAAGAAAGTAAAGAAGACTTTCAAGCAGCTCTATTAGAGTGGAGAAATACACCACTGGCTGACTTGGGTGCAAGTCCTGTGCAGTTATTAATGTCAAGATCAACAAAGACTCGTTTGCCAGTAACAGAGATGAAACTAAATCCAAAGATACACATAGGAGTCACAGACAAGTTGAAGGAAAAACAAGAAAAATACAAGAAGCACTATGATAAAGGCACTCATGCATTGGACCCACTTAAAGTTGGGCAAAAGGTATTAATACAGAAGAGACCAGACATGAAAGCAGAACCGTGGACGCCTGGCGTAATAGTAACTGTGGATGGGTTGAGAACTTACATTGTAGCAATTGAAGGAAGACTATTTAGAGGCAATAGAAGATTCATTCGTCCATTTAAAAGTTGAAGAGGGAGATGTTGGTATTGCTATAACCAGCTGATCTCTAGTTGTTGATTTTTATGTTATGTTATGAATTTGGATAATAAAAAGTATCTTGTTTAGAAATGATTATTTAATTAAAATAATTTAATTAATATAGATAAAAGAACACTGGGCTTTGCTAATATCGATTGAGGTAATTATTTACCGTATTTACCACATTACGCACAGCGCGCGACATTTGCGCGCTTGCGCATTTTTGATATCGTTATTTCATTGTGTTTCACTCACTATTTAATTGTGCAAAAACAGTCTGGAAGTTGCATAAATTAATGAGTCGGTTCATTATAACCTAACCTTTACCTTCCTAATCTAACCTCACTTCAAAACACTTAATACAGTCACGAATCCGCATAAAACCCGACCTACCTTCCTCACATGCCTAAATAAGAACTGATTATTTGGTTTCAAAACGAATTGATTTGATTTCATTCCGCATTAGATCAAGTATAAACAGTTGTTTGCTCTTCTCACTCAGTCCTCACTCCTCACTCAGTCCTCACTCCTCACTCAGTCCTCACTCCTCACTCAGTACGGACCCGTCCAAACCACGCCATATTACCATTACCTTGACCTTCAGTACCGCTCAATTATCATTACTGTAGATTCGTAATCCTAACCTTTGTTTTACGGCCACTTAGGAATCTCTCCGACCAAAACTGATTGCATTTTTGGATTCAGCGTTAAAAATACTGTAAGTAGACATATAAAAATTACATCATATCCCAGTGTAAATACAGTAAATATTTGCCTCGATTGAAACTATCAAATTGAAAATATTGAAAATAATCGATATTTTTAAATACCCTATTATAAAATTAAAATTAGGCTAAACGGTAAATCTATCGACCACGGACACGTCGCAAAAATTTTTTTTTACTATTTTTATGCTAAATTACGTCCTGAATTCAAAAATGATGGTCATTTTCCGTGGAAAGGCACCGTTTTCCCGGAAAAGCGGAAAAACGGGAAAAAAATCTTTTTTGCGGAAATGGGTCATGTGTATACTCAAATTAACCGGTAAAGCGAGCTGAACAAGAATATGCAAAAAAATTCAAGATCCGAATATTAACGGAGATATGGCCGAAAAAGCGCGTTCGGAAAAGTCCATTAGTCACAGGAACAACAGCATCAGGAGGATCCGTAGGTGCTGCTGTCTGTGGGAGCGATTTAGAGGTTATTTGGTGAATATATATTCTTTATACCCTTGATTATATTAGGTTAGGTTGGGTTAGGTTAGGTTAGGTTAGTTTAGGTTAAGTTAGGTTAGATTAGGTTGTCTAACCTAACTTAACCTAACCTAACTTTTCCTAACCCAACCTAACCTAACCTAACCTAACTTAACTTAACCTAACCTAACCTAACCTAACCCAACCTAACCTAACCTTTTTTTTGCCATTTTGACGCTAACTCGATTTACAGACACTTTTCCTGCCGTAGGTTTATAGTTATAGTTATAGACGTTAATAGTAATCGGATCTTGAAAAATCTTGCATATTCTTGTTCAGTTCACTCTACCGGTAAATTTGAGTATACACATGACTCATTTCCAAAAAATTGATTTTTTCGTTTTTCCGGGGAAACCGCGCTTTTTCGGCCGTATCTCCGTTAATATTAATCGGATCTTGAATTTTTTTGCATATTCTTGTTCAGCTCGCTTTCCCGGTTAATTTGAGTATACACATGATCCATTTCCGCAAAAAAATTTCCGTTTTTCCGGGAAAACGGTGATTTTCCGCGGAAAATGACAATCATTTTTGAATTCAGGACGTAATTTAGCATAAAAATAGTGAAAAAAAATTTTAGCGACACGTCCGTGATCGATAGATTTACCAATTAAACTATCATAACCTAACCTAACCAACCAAACTTGCTGATGGTGAAAAAATCTCATGAAGATTTACTAATGGAATCCATAGTTTCAAATTAGCATAGCTCAGTTAAGAAACTGTACCCCAATTTAGATTTAATTAAATCAAATATGTGCTGTTATTATCATGGATAAAACATAATCCCTTAGAGGCGGTTTGGGAGCTCGAGCCCAGCTAGTACGCGCCTAGTGTTAGACGCGCCTAACTTTAGTCCCCGGACCAGAAACCAGGCTTGGGAGCTCGCGCCTAAGTTGAAATGGTCGTAGATCAAGTATAGTCGCGCCTAAGTTGCAGCGCCGCTAGATGGACAGGGAATCGCGGGGTATTCAGGTTTTGACGTTGGCAACGGCCATTGCAGAACCCGTTACCGTTGACAACAACAAAAGATGAACACTTATTGAAGATGGATACAATTTTATCTTGGTATATCAATGGTGGCTAATTAGTAGACTATGGTGTATGTTTCTGCATTGTACCATTGCAAAAATGTAGTTTTGTAAGATCGTTGTTTTACATCCCAATGACTGAAGAACCGTAATTGTTTATATTAAATTCTTTTAAGATCTAACTTTATTTTCACTTTACGATTTATAATTATTTAATCAGTTGTCTTTAAGTACTACTAGTTGTCTTTTAAGTACCATACCTTATAAATACATACAGAGCAACATAGGATTAACATCGGAAACTCGGTTTCATGCAATAAAAATCTTTAAAATTAAACAGTAATTTCCCAGTATAATATAGGGGTATTGACAAAAAAAAATAAAAAGTAATTGCGGAGGTTATGATTGTGTGAAGCCAAGGTAAATGTAAACAAATATCTTTTAATACAGTACTTAGAAAAAATTGTTGTCAATTTAAAATCTTTTTTTACATGACACTCTTTTATCTAATTTTCCTAGGGAAGTATCTATTACCGTAGGTAGCACTTAGTTCCGGGACCGATAAACTTTTCCATTTTGATGTCCCTAGAGGCTAAAAACACTGTTCGTTCAAAATTTTATATATGTATAGCCTATATATAATGTATTATATATACGTCCATAAACGTGATAACTTGAGTAATTTTTGTCTGATTTTGATAAAATTTGGCATGAAAGTGTTAGGCGTGATTCTCCTTAATGAGTTCGCGAAACAGCATGATCAGACCAAGGGAACCCGGAGTTGTATTGGATAAAAATAGTTTTTTTCTCAATTTTAACCCCTATAACATAAATCTTTGTCTTTAAAATATTTTAAAGAGCATAAAAAACAAATTAATTTCTTAAAATGTTTTGTACGGTTATTGGCTACAGAGACTATTGGTAAAATTGTAAATTTTAAATTCCCATGTGATTCTTATGGAGAATAAGTTAACTGTTCTAGTGTGGTCGTTTATGGATATATTTTTATGAAACTTGGCAAATTTATTTATTTTTTATAAAGCTGTTAATATTTTGTTAAAAAACACACTTTATCACCCTCCCAGTAGCAGCATACCTACACCGTAGGTAGTTTCAGGTGCTTGTTATAATTATTTTGCTTATTGCAAAATATTGCTTATTGATATACTGTATATATTTTCTTATACTCCAAATAATCTAGGTACTCCATTTTGATGTAACTAGCACTTGGTCAATGACACTGAACTGAGCTCTATCACAACACAATTAAAAGATAACGACTATGACTGTGAGCTATTTGCAGTTTTTTATGTTTTGTTTACTATCTCTTCACTCTTTCGTAGGGGGGTGAGTGGGGGGTATGCATGTGGTTGCTAATTATTTCCTTACTAATAAAATATTTATAATTAAGGTATGGGTGCTTATAGCCAAACTCTCAGTTGAAAGAAATTCTATTTAGGGTCCATATTTGTATTGCAGTTAACAGTAAAAACGAAAAACCAAATAATCTATCGTTAAATTTAGCTTTCTGCAAGATTTTCGTTTTATTTTGAACAAAAGAGAACTAAAAAAAAGTTTTATCAAATATACTTTGAGAGTAATGAAAATGTTCGGAATTTAATAACGAATTCCAATATAACATTCTTTTGTTTAATATGTAAACAATTAACTTGCTAATGAGCTAATACCGGCATGATGTCGACTTAGACCTGCCCCCTGGCAGGACTAAAGTTGGGGACTAAACTCACTGATTTTTATGACGAAAACATATCTCTTAGTCCCGAAATTGGTCTCCCAAACCCACCGAAACTATCTCTTAGGCTGGCGCCTAAGTCTACTTGACTCCCAAACCAACAATATTTAGGCGCGAGATTATCCCTGCACAAGTTAGGCGCGCGCCTTACTGATCCCGAGCTCACAAACCCGTTTTCGAGGCGGCAGCCTAAAATACCGGAAATATCCGGATTTAGTCGCGGACTAGCGCTAATACCGAGCTCCCAAACCGCCCCTTAGTGTTGCTTAGTATAAGTTAGGCCTATGTTTTATTAACGAATTACAATAGCCTAAATTATGGTAGGCCTAATGTTTACTAAGGTACGGTATATGGGTTGCTTACCGTTCCAGTAATTAGTCCATTTCCAAAGCACTCCTTCCATTTCTATTGCACACAAGTAAGATTATACCACTTCAACTATTTGAACTTAATTCCATTTTTAATCATACATTTCATAAAGTGGAATCATCTAAGCTTAGGTAGGCCTTTACAGTTTACATATGAGGACGAGTGGAGTCAACATTGACAACTCAACTCATAACTCAAGCTCAAATTACACGCATGCATACCACCTCACAGCTGACTCTACTCTGACTTCTTCTGCTTCTGCTTCTGACAAGTGACAAGGCAAGGCGGTTGTTGTTGTTGTCAATCGATTATTCAACCGTTGGTCGTCAAGTTCAAGTTAGCGGCTCATTTTCTTCGGCGCTTTCTCGGATTGTAATACCGTTGACTTTATATTGACTTTTTACTGCCATTTTTTAATATTTACAAGAAGTGCATGGTATCAATTTGTAGGAAATTTTATTCTCTTTCAGAACATCTCCTTCCACTTTGGTCGATTTCCTCACCGTTTAAAAGTTATTTGCAAAAAAGCTAAGCAACCTCCGAATTTATAGTAGTGAGAAAAAATTGAGTTTGGGATATTTTTGTTAAACTTTGTACAACTAAATCTAGACTTCTACTGAACCGATTTTGTTACTTAATGGGTCGTTGGAAAGCCTAATTGGTGTAGATTTGCAAATAATTATGAAAGTTTGATTTTATTAGATATTTGAGGTGAAAAAACTAAAAATAAAAATAATACATTTAAAACTCCTTTTTTCTCAGTTTATATTTCCAATTTTATATTTGTAGCCAAATTTAGACAGCCTTTATTGAGTATTTTCAAGAAATACATAGTAATTTGTAGGAAATTTTATTCTCTTTCAGAATATCACCTTCCACTTCAGTCGATTTCCTCGCCATTTCAAAGTTATTTGCAAAAACGTTAATCGACCTCCAAATTTATAGTAGTGAGAAAATACTGAATTAAAGATGTTTTTGTTGTTTAACTTTGTACAATTAAGTCTATAGTTCTACTGAACCGATTCTATTAATTAATAGGTCATTGGATAGTCTAATTTGTGAAGATTTACAAATAATTATGAAAGTACTGTTGAGGTTGCAAGCAAATCGTTTGGCTATAAATCGATGATAAATAACTCCATTTTTTGAACAATTTGTGTTGGTCGTGATTTAGCTGTGTGCTTTAATGAAATGGAAGCTGGCATTTCAATGAAGGTTCTCAGGTCAAAACAAATAGAATAACGTAATTAGAATTGAGTAAATATATTTAAAACTAAATTCCATATCCAAGATATAATCAAATTTATGTTTTCTGATTGAGCGATACAGTATCTTGAACTTAACTGATTAAAACTATCAATATCTCAAGTGAAAGCCTTTGAAGCATTTTAAGACCAAGACAAATAAAATAACTTAAATAAAAATAGAGTTACGTATCATTGATTGCAGATAGGTACTAAAACGATTGTAACTATTGTTGATTCGTGATTCAGCAGTGTGCTTTAGGTAGTCCGATCTTAATAATCAATAGCTCAAATGAAAGCTGGTATTTCACTTTTAAGGTTTTAAGACCAAAATGTATAATGTATGTAAAACTCCTTCAAATAGAACTGCTTCAATACATGTTTAATTGAAGTGACAAAAAAATTGTTTTGTCAAGTGTAATACAGATAAATTTTAATGATGACGCTTGATGACAAATATGTTTGATACTTGATACTTGTTGTCTTAATCTTTGACCGAAGTATATCGGATAGATTGCGTCGTTATACTAATATTTACAAAATTATTATATACAAAACTTGTCTTACAAAGTATCATAAAACTTAAAAACTTAAATCTTGAAACTTAGGCTGTGGTAAGCGTGTCTGTTTCTCAACCTGGCATCAAAGGATCATTTGACAACTCGTCAAGACTATGCTCTTGCCGGTGTTCTCTAAGGTACTTGAGACTGTGATGAAGAGGCAGCTAATTAAATATTTTGAAGGTGAACTTGCTTTCGGATGCCCAGCACGGCTTCCGAAGTGGGCGCTCAACTACTTCAGCCCTAATGAATCTGACTGACCTCATCTCAGATGCCTTCGAGTGCAATGACTCAGTCATGCTGAGGTTATGCGATCTGAGTAAGGCGTTTGATGTTGTTTCCCACAACATCCTTCTAGGGAAACTGAAAAAATATGGTATTGGTGGTACAGTGTTGTGCTCTCTGCAGAATTATTTAGAATTAATTAGGCAATGTGTATCAGTGAACGGAGTGTCCTCAAATGTCCAGGTTGTTCCCCATGGCGTTCCTCAAGGTTCGGTGTTAGGCCCTCTACTGTTTAGCATCATGATAAACGACCTTTGGTTAAACGGCTGCACCCTCCTCTTTGCAGACGACACCACCCTGGTGACTAAAGGGAAAGATATTAACCTGTTGAGGGATACAGCGGACGAGTTGTTTGTTGAGGCTAAGTCATGGTTTGTTGCTAATCGCTTCAAAATAAATGAAGAAAAGACTCAATCATTGATGTGCACCCTCAAGTCGAGGACTGATCATGAGGAAGCTGTGAAGTTGCTTGGGTTTTGGCTGGACTCTAGGCTAAACTGGTCTAACCACATTGATAAGGTATGCGTTAGGTTATCCAGAGTTCTCTATCTGCTAAGGAAACTCCGAGATGAAATCACTAAGACCTATCTGGTAACCATATACCATGCCTTATTTCATAGCCATTTGATGTACGGAATAGTGCTCTGGGGACACTCCCCTGCACGCCATGAAATACTTCTGCTACAAAAAAAAAGCTGTGAGGGTGATAACATCTAAAGGCCCAAGAGAACATTGCCGACCCATCTTCAGAGAATTGGGAATCCTCGTAGTGGTGAGCCAGTACGTACTTAACAGTCTGGTCTTGCTAAAGGAAAACCTAAGTGATTTTGTGACCCGAGGTGATAGGCATGAGTATGGAATAAGAAGAGGGCCCATGACCTGGATATGCCTCGCTGCCGCTTGAGCCATACCTTAAGGAGATACCCCCGATCGGCTATCAAAATCTACAACTCCCTTCCAAACCACCTAAGGAACCTTGACGGTACAGCGTTTAAGTCCGAGCTGAAGAACATGTGCTTGCATAGCTTTATTTTAAGACCAAACTAAACTTATGAACATCGGGCGGGTAGAAGAGCCCTCCTGTAAACCATCGCCCGCCTGCGAAACATTGAACTCGAAAAAAACCAAATTCAACTCCCATAAGTAATGTACAGGGAGCCAGTTTGTGCATAACTCGAAATATACGTCAAAATGAATGCCGATACTTGATGGCATAACTGCGGTACGTCCATACCTTTAGTTTAAGGCCAAAATTATGAAAATCGGTCGGGTAGAAGAGCTAACCCGACTCGGAAAAGAAAAAGCAATTTTTTTTATAGATGGCAATAATATTGTTTTACCAGTATGCATAATCTAATCATACGAAACACGTGTTAATAATTCAACGGCTTATTGTTATATTGTTATCTAATTAATTGTCTTTGATTAAATGTTGTTGTTAACGATTTGCATTTGTGTTTAAAGTGTGTTCCTTATGTTAAGTGTGTGATTTTAATGTTGTGTGCTTAAACTGTGCCATTAATATTAATGAGGAAAGTGGTGTACGGTATGGATTTCGTAACCATTATTTTACTACAGACCGTTGTATTTAACCACAACGGGCACTGTTGCTAGTACTTTGATAAAACGTTAATACACGAGCTGAACTAATTAATTGATGTATTATGGTAGGTATATATTTAAGGCAGTCTTGGAAATTATGCATGGCTATGGCTAAATATACACGCTCAATTAAAACTCATAACATGATAAAGTGCACTATCTTTTTCCTATGCCTATCACAAAACCTTTGAGCTACCTATTCTAATGATAATATACAATTTAAAAAATAATACTGTATTGATGAGTATGATTGGAGTGGTTCTGCAAATTAAAAAAAATATGGCTAAATATAGCCGGCTGATCGGTACTTGCGTCAGGAAAAAGTACAAAAACTTTTTCCTGAGCTCATCACATCAACTTTGAGCTATCATACTGGTATTGGTAATATACAATGTATAGAATAATCAGGTGTTTTGCGCATCCAGCGCACGTTTGACGGAGTCAGAACTGTACCAACCTGACAAACCCCGATTTCCCTACGGACAGATCTCATCACGGCTGGTCATCGCCGACGATCTACTGTACTGCCCCTGACCTCTGCTGGCAAAGTACTGAACCACGTCGGCTCTTCGCCAGAAGAGAACAACTCTACCCGCGCCTTACCGGCTGTAGCCGCAACCCGCATAGCCGATCAACTCTACTAGCTGGCCATCGACAGTCCGAAGGCGTCGTGATTCTGTCTAGCCAAATTTACACCGCTGCTGCCCCTTGGACAATGCCTACAGTGCTGGACTACATTTAGTTTTATTCCTTTGACTATATGATCTGTATATATATGTAAAAATAAAAATTTATTAATATTTTGTAATTTACTTTTCTTTTAGTATGATGGATTTTCAACTCTTCGAAAGTGTAAATATTGATTGTAAAACGGAAAAGAATGTGCTAGATCTCTCAGCCATACTCAATTCCCTTACAGTCAACCACCCTGACCTTGATTTCACTTGTTTGATTGAGGTAATATCAGAAATTCTAAAAACCTTGAGTGAAGTCATTAACAAAAATAGTAGTCTTGTCTTAAAAAATGATGAACTGTACTGTACAAATATAGGACTTGAAACTTATATTGAGAATTTAAAAAAAGAAAAAACTGTTGAACTTAATGAATCTTTTAAAGTTCAAGATTGTATAGTAGAAAAAAATGAAACTTTGTACAAAGAGTTAGAACTAGCAAAACACAAAATTGTCAACCTAGAATCTCAACTTGCTAAACTGAACAAAGAAAACATTTCTTTCAGGAATAACTTGGTAGTCAATTTAAATGAACCCCCATGTGATAGTGAAATAAGTTCTTGTAAGCAAAAGGTTATAGAATACCAGGTTACCAACAGTTGTCTCATTCGTAAGCTAGAACAAGCATCGTAGTCCGGCAGAATTGACCTGAACCTGGTTTTGTCCTATTAAGTTTTTTTTTTATTGTTGATATGTGATATCTAGGGTTAGTAGACCCTAAAACCACCGGGTACTTTTTTGGTACCCTTGGGCAATAGCCGCCATCTTGGAAAATGGCGAGAAACGTAAATTACAGTGTAAGCTTTT